ACCTTGTTTACGAACATCTTCTACAGCAGCCACGAGCTCCTCCTTGAGAAACTGACTCTCCTTTGCAATTTTATCACCTTTTTCCAAGAAATTCTCAGTTGCTTGTTCAACAGATGCAGCCAAAACATGGGCTTTCTTAGAACGACCTCTCTTCTTATTAGAAGGCCCCTTACTGTTGGTGTTTACCAGGGTTGTAACCTAAAAATTTCATTTGAAAAATTACACAGCTGTCAATTAAAATGAAAATAAAGATCTTTAAAGATATCAAGAATAAATGATTCATAAGGAAATAAATGTCACATTTATGAGATTCTACTAAGCATTAACAAATAATATATAACTATGTTTAAGATATATAGTAATGACACTATATTTAATTTTCAAAATAATTTAGTTGTCTCAGTATATAATGGAAGAAATATAATAAATATTTTAGGAGCTGTGGTAGTGTGGTGGGTAAGGCATGTGAATCCAAACCAGAAGGTCAGTGGTTGAAACCCACCAGATGCTCTGTGGGAAGATGATGAGGCAACATACTTCTGTAAAGATTCACAGCCTGGAGTTCCAGCAAGATGGCAGACTAGGCAGAAAGACTGCACAGACCCTCTTCAACAAAGAACAGGGAAACCAATTAACACAGACACAGAAGATAATCCTGGACCCCTGAACCTTGAAGGGAAGGATACAGAAGTGGACTAAACCCTAACTAGCAGAAGAATTTGCGTAAAAATACCAAAAAAGGAGATAGACAGATCTGCGGTCTGGCAGCGATCCTGATGGCACAGACAGCTTCGAGATTCCTGAGTGCTGGTAGGACTTAAGAATTAACCTAAAAATCAGCCCTGCTACAATGTACCAAATGTGAGTGACCAATATGGCAGCACTGAGGATGAGAAAGACATAGAGAGGTACATAGGAGGTACAGACAACAAATATGAACCCTTTTGCACATATAGTGCATTGTCAATGAAGGCAAGGATGGGTATATGGGTGGACAGGCTAAACGATTAGATATGTCTATGAAATGGGGAGTGTATCCCAAGAACATATATAGGGTTGGCAGACAATGGTCCTTAAGTTTACGTGCATGATCAGAATTCCCAGGTGTATAGTAGAGCTGACAAGGGGCAAGGTTTCAGTCACTGCTTGGTCACAGCCAGCTACCCAGAGGGACTGAGTAGTTGAACCTGCAGGCTTGGGACCATAGTCACAGAGGACATCAAGCTCAATTGGCATAACATACTATTATACATACAAAACATTGTTC